CGGCCATGGCTCACGGGCCCAGCCACTCCGCGGCATGTGGGGTCTTCCCGGACCGGGGCACGAACCCGTGTCCCCTGCATCGGCAGGCAGACTCTCAACCGCCGCGCCACCAGGGAAGCCTAAGACCTGGTTTTAATGGATAGTAGCGAGAGGGTTTGAAGCTAAGTCTAAACTACCAGATTGTAAAGACTATATTTTATCCAAAAATCTACATGCTGAGGAACTCTGAAGTGCATAATTTAAACCATAGATAAATGTTTTAATCACTACTTAGAAAGTTTAAAACAAGACAAGCATGCAATTTTTTAAAGCAAATAACTGGTTTGCCTATTATAAAAATGTCTAAATTAACTAAGTTCATCATCATCATGATACGTAAAGCAAACCTACCTGGTTCATAGTACAGCATCTCAAAACACAGAAATGTGGATGCAAAAGAAAATAATTTTCTGGGGCTTGGGGATAGCCCTTTTAAGACTTTAAAGTGTGAAGCACTGGACTGTTAATAACAAGTATATGGGAAGAAATCTTAACCACAACACAAAAGTCACATTTTCACAAATTCTCAAAACAGCAGAATATTATTCTTTCACATCTCAGATTTTTTCCTTTGGGAATAAAAATAAGAAGATTTTGAATTTTGATAACTATAATTTATGTTTTCTTTGATAATGCACAAATGTTTATAAGAGATGAACTGATTCTAAATAACTGATCCTAATTAAAATGGAATCTTAACCCAGGTTCTAGAAATTACCCTTTTTACATTAAGTTCATTTAATTCCGTCTTTCCCTTCCTCACTTATGCCCTCTTCCCCCAACTTGATAGGACCATCTAACCCTTCCATCCAAACTCTACATAAACAATCATAGTTCTCTTGGGAATTTAAAGTTACAATTAAAAGACTCAGATACAGATTGTGTTATATTAATAATTCCAACTATATGATTCTAATAATCACAGAAAAGAAAGTATTTTATTCTGTTTATATTTTATTCTCTTAAGTAAAGTGTATATTCTGAACACAGAAGAGAAAAGACAAAATGTGAATGCAGCAAAACAAATATCTTAGGAGTTGGGTCTAAAGTTAGTGGGGAAATGCCATTTTTAGAGTCTCTATAAGGTACAATATACTTTGTCAAGACACCTAAAAGTAACCTGGCTCTTTCAGGCATACCAATAACTCTGTTCACATTAAGTAATTATAGGGTAAAAACTAAAAAGCAAGACGATATTAAAGCATATAAAATAGTATGTATGCATCATGAACTTAGTTTGGAATTCTCTGTGTTTCATAAAAAGTGGGAAGGTCAAAAGAAGAAGAAGGTGGAGGTGTAAGAACTGAAAGAACTTCACATTAGAAAAAGACATGAACTGCAATTATCTTCCTATGCCCTATTTAGAAAACAACTTGAAGCCACCTCTCAGTGTTAAAAAAGGTATTTATTGACTACATTTTTTATCTTTCCATTAATTAGTTCTGCTTCAGAACTTATTCATTAAACACCTTAACACTTCTGACACACTAAAGAATTAGGTACCTACCAAGAGACTGTTCAGAGGCAAGGATCCAAAAGAATGCACTGCACCTGGTTTTTGGAGTTAGAGATTTTTAATTAAGTTTAAAATGACTTCAGTTTTCTACCTTTCAACTGGCAAATAAATCAGTGTAAGAGAGAGCAAGGCCTATTTTATCAGACCAATTTAAAACAAATTCTCATTTTTTTGAGGTATACTGAGATGGGGGAGAGGATGCTGTTTCTGTCTGACCCTTATAAGGGTCATGATGAAAAAGGACACATTTCAATGCTAAAAGACACAATTCAAAATGAAGATATAATAGTTATGAATATTTGTACACCAAATAACACAGCAACAACTGCTATAAGGCACAAACTACAGGAGATACAAAGAGACATAGACAAAACACCTTAATAATAAAATACTTTACCATGCCACCCTCAGTCCAAAAATAGATCAAAAGGAAAAAAAAATAAGTAAAGATATTGAAGACCTAATCAACTTACTCAGTAAGGTAGAAAACCTAAGGCTATATGTCAAACTTCACATGCTGATAATTTTTGCAACTTTTCATTAAGTTTGTAATTAGGCTAGCAAAAAATGAGAAAGTAAGAAGAAAAAATAGTAGAAAAAGAATGAACAGTCACAAAGTGTCAGAAGTGATGCTGATGAGTTACTCTTTTCCCCTCTCCCTTTCCTAGAGCATCTTAAGTGTTAAACAAAAAAACAAAAAACCTTTTTAATTGTAAAAGAAAGTATTTTTGATTTAGAAAAATCTGAAAACATGTGTCCCCAATGGAAACCACACTGAGAAGTCACACAACAGAGCTGGTGTGACAACTGATCTACAAGTCAAGAAGCTGGTTCGTTAAGGAAGGCCCTTCTGGCAGGTTCCATGCCCCTCAGGTGAAGCACAGGTGGCAGGAGGCACCAGACTTCAGCTGCCTCATGAGTGGAACCTGTAAACCATATGAGCACAAGGGTGTATCTAGACCATGGCAGACACACCACTGCGTGTGGTGCAGTCGTCTCTCGTGTATGACATCACACTCCATCTCCTGCAGAAAGTCACCATGAGTCCATACTTCTAGTCCACAGTCTCCTCAGATTGCCTTCCTATAAAGCCAGATTAGCGGAAGGTGCAACACCAAGGCAGAGTTCCCAAAGCTTGTCTCCATGACTATCTCGTCACCAATGACCCAAATCACAGACTCCATGAGGACAGTGTCTTTGCCCAGCACCATGGCACCTATGTGACCCTTTGAGCCCATGCCTCACCACCATCCACTTACCTCCTCTTTGGGAGATCACTTACAGATCAAAATTTTTTTTTTAAAATAAAAACCTTCTGACTGCCTTTTGGCTGAACTAATCTTTGTTAGAGGCCCACACGATAAAGAAAGATTGCCAGAGATGTATATATGTAATTTGACTCCTTAAACCAGGAGATGAAAAGTCTCTGAAATCTCAAGATTTTTGAGGAGGATAAACAAAAAGCATGCATTCAAAGAAATAAAATATGACAGATATATGATGAGACTGGGCCAATACCCAGGGGCCCTGTGTTCATTTTTACTGTGTCATTGGGCAAAACCAGCTACCATTTTATTTTAAAATGAAAAGAAAATGCATTTTGTCTGTCTCACTGAGCAAATGATTCCAGCTTAGCAGATCCAGCCCAAAGGTACTACACTCAGGGCTTTCTCCATCCATCTTTTTAGAAAAGAATCTACCAAGGTAAAGCTATAATGAAGAAAATGGGGCGAAGCAAATGACAATGAGTGCACAGCCAAGGTAATTTATCATGACGGTACTCACTTTAGTGTAATATATTTTATGTCTGTTCTCCCACCCACCATTGACATGAACATGCAGGAAAAAATACACCTGTTTTGGGCTTGTGTTTTATCCTCTTCTTTAAGCAAACAAGAACGGTTGTAGTGTGTATATACTCCATTTTACCACAAAGGATTGTTCTGGCAAAATGTACAGTTTTTAATGAAGGATTATGTAACTCCTTTATACTCCAAGAAACAAAGCAGAACGAGCACTAAGCAGCATTAGACACACCCAGAGTGCTGACTCTAAGTACTGTATGCATTGTTCTTGCAAAAAAAAAATCAAAAATAAAAAGTTTCTAAAAGAAATTTATGCATAAATATTATTTCTCAACAGTTAAGAAAAGGGTTACAAACAATAGTGTTCAGTCATTTGCAACACTGAATCATTTTCTGTAACCCGTACAAATTTTACTGAACAATAAAAATTTTACTTTATTTTCCTATGAAGAGTCATTGTTTCTCAATTCTCAATTCTGTCTTTTTCAAGTAATTGTGTTTTTTTAAATCAGTCCTTTATTTTGGGGCTGGATTTTGCTTTTGCAGTTTCTAAAATACATCAGTCAGTCTTTACTTACAAGAATAAGTGGCATTTAAGCTATGGTAGGTTGACCTCAGTAGCTAAAAAATCCCATAGTTTAAAATTGAGCTCATTTTTCATGAGATACAAGCCATGAAAAATGTGATCAAAAGGGAGTTGACATCCTGCAATTCTAACTTATTTTACTTGAAAAAACACAAGAAATGATTCTCCTCTGACCTCTTTATTGCTTCCTTTTTTTATCTATGTGGACTTCATGCTGCAGATATTTGAGCAGAAAATGACCTAAAATATCATTTAGCAATTTTTTTACCAAGATAAAATGTAAAATGGGTTACACTGTCTCCAAACATGTAATTTTTAAAAATTTTGTCACTCACATGTTCTGTCACTGCCTTTTGTCATCAGTGCAACTATCTACCAGGTCTCTGAATTTTAGAACAAATTTATTATTAGCTGAATAACTTCACTGATTCATAAATGTAGATGGATAAAACCAGCTTTAAAAACCTAAGTTTACTTGCATTGTGATTATTCCAATATAATGGGTCAAATTCATGTACCTCCTCATCACTTTCAGCTCACTACTTAGGTCCACTGTGAGGAAGAGCAGAGGTTTAGAGTAAGATGATCTGTACTCAAGTCCTAACTCATTTACTAATTAGCTGGGCCCGTCACTAAAGTTTTCTGGGCCTCAATTTATACATCTCTAAAAGGAAATGTCGAACTACACGGGTTCTATTGTCCCTCTGAGACTAACACTCAGGTTACTAAACTGACAATCATTTCACAAGCCATTTTCACACTTACCAACATGAAGATACAGCCACTTTAGGCTGCGATCACCTCCAGTCTAAAAGGCACTGTCCTATGTTGCCAAAGAAAGTTTAATCAAACCCTCATGCAGCCCATTAAGCTATGACCAATACTGATGTTCTCTGCTGAAACGGAATTACTAGTTTCCACTGAGATTCATCATCTCATTAGTGACCCCATTTCCAAAGTCACCAAGCAAAGGAAATTTCTCTTAAGGAACCTGAGAAGTAAAATCTCTAAAATGGTTACACGTTTGCTACTACGTTAGGAAAGTTCACAGTACCTAAAATAGCCACCACCTCATCATCCTGGATGACTTCCAAGGATCCTGACACCACAAAGCAGAGGGCATCCACACTTTCTCCAGCATGGTAAATGAGGTCCCCAGGAGCACAGTGAATAGTCTGAAACTCTACCGCCAAGGCGCGCAGACACCCGTCGCTGGCCAATCGAAAAGCAGGATGCTCATTAAAAACCTTCCGGTTTAGATGAACACAGATATCAGCTCTCATGTCCTTGGGACAGATGGAGAGGACCTGAAGAAAGTGAGAGATGCATAAGTGAGAAGAAAATAGAGAGGGACTATTTCAGAAATCTAACATACTTATTGACTATGACACAGTCTGCAAAACAGTGTATTGAGGAAAACGGTAACAAGACACAGCTCTGCTCTGAAAGATATAAAAATCCATGGGCTGATGAGCATAGGGGCTATTACAATACAGCACCATGTACTAAAGCTCTGAGGGGGTATGGATCTCACCATAGAGACAACAGAGTCTTAAAATGGCCAGGAAGTGTCTCAGAAAAATATTTAATGTAATGTCATCAAAATGCCAACTAAGATAGGTCATTAACATTCATTTTAGTCTCGTTGCTATTTTAGAATTTTTTCATAACTAAATAAAAATTCAGGATAATGGACTTTTACTACACATTGGAGATGGATTCGTATTAACCAGTTATAAGACAACAAAAGCACCCTTGCAACATGGCATGCAATTTGCCATGGCTGATATAACTCCACTCTCAATGTGTTTTCTTCACTCTGAAATACGTATTTTCATTTTACTAATGAATTCATGCTCAGGGAGTGGAAAGAATATTCACCAGCCTTCTGTAGGGCTTAGGCAACTGGCAATGTCAATGACGGCAAGGTGGGCCCATCATGTTGCATGGCAGCCCTTGCTCATTCGGGTCTTTGACTCCTAAAGACTGCTGAAAGCAACAGCAGAATAAGCTCTAAGTATCCTTTAGAAGAGGGAACAAATGGCAGAAACATGCTTAGAGAGATAGGGGTACAGAACTTTTATTCCCTGTAGCTTTCAGACAGGGCGATTAAAGACCCAGATTAAAATGGACATTATCCTCACATTACCATCAGAGCATCATCAAGCAAGATATGATTATAGAAGTCAGGACTGCCCAATTTAAAGATGCATGTGCAAATTCACATAGAATCCTCTCCCAACTCCCTTGGTAAACTATTCCTTATAATCAGAAATGTTTTTCTTTGATAGAATTAGAATCCCTCAAGCTGAAGTCTAAGTTGATTTTTCCTCATTAAGTTATATTGAATAATGTTTTCATATAAAATGGTTTTCTTCCCTGTACTAATTGCATTTTAAGCTTTAAAAAATTACCTAAGGCTTGGAATATCCCCTGACTTTCCTTTTATTAGGGGTTCACTATCAATGAAAAGGAAATTTCTGTTTGAAATGAAAAGCTGGTTGCTTCCATGTGTAGAAGACAAGCCCATGATAAATGTAAAGACCGTTCATTAAATGATTTCAATATCCCTCCCCTTAACCTCTCCTAGTACTGTGATACTATCTCACATCACTTAAGCATCTTTGTGGATTTTTTTCTTACTCCTTTGAATTCCTATATGCAGTACAATCAGCTCACCTATCTTTCTGAAAGAGTTCATCTTTAAGGAAAGGAACACCTAACAGGGATATAGAAGCAATTGGCACTTTCCACATCAGTTATTTTCCATAATAATATAATTTTTTTTACTATATTAACTTTTAGTGACTTCTGACAATATTAGTCATTCAATAAGCACTTATTGGGCTTCTACTATGGGGCGTGCCACTGCATTAAATTCCTGGAACTAGAAAGATAAATAAGATGCTCTTTGCTTTGGGGGAGGTAACCATGAAGTAGGGGCAGGTAGGCATGAAGTAGGGGGAGGTAGGCATGTAAAGAGACAACTATAATACAGTGAGAAAAGTGCTATGACAGGGGCATGGCCAAGGTGACATGGAAGCATATGCTGCCTAGAAGTCATTACTTATGACTTAGAGGTACCATAAAAGATCAACCTCAAGAGGACATGGGTCTGGGTGCAAATCTACCACTTATTGCCTCTGTAACCTAACGCAAGTTATTTAACGACTCTAAACCCCATCTGCGAAATGGGATGATAGTGTTTATTTCATAGGTTCATTGTAGGAATTAAATGAAAGAACTTGAGTTAGCCCAATTTAGTCTTGCACATGGCAAAAGTTAAAGAAAGGCTAGTTTTTATCTTCCCTACTGAACATGAGTATTCCTACAAAATTTACTGGTTTTTTTAGTTCTCTAAAAAAGCAGTTTGCTCTTTTTATTTCATTTTCCACTCCTGCCTGAATTCTGTTTCCTGGTTGTTTGATGAGGTTCCAAGCAGAATTAAGAAAGTATTTCAGCATGAGCCTGAATACATTTTAAGCTTTAACTAATGTTAATATTATATTTTCCTCAAGTTGAAAATGAAACTGGTGCTAGAAAGCAAAAAACATAAAAGCAATTTTAAAATACATACACACACGCATAAACATTGCACTGAATAGCTTAATGGGAAAACGGATCAATCTATTTCTATCCCATTTACATTACAGAATTTTCATTGTTTTCGATTCATTTTGGTAATAGTCATTTTATGCCCTTTTAATTATTTCTTTCAAGATTCATGCTGCAAATGAAATCTTCCAGTGTTAGCAATATTCTGTTTAGTGGCATATCAAAAGAGGATTTTTATTGCATTTTAAGTGCATCTTTCCGTTTTTTTTCACTTTCCTTAAGACATTGCCTCATTATTTTGATTCAAGGTATATACTAAAGTCCAGACGTCATAGAGTGACAAATTAAAACTAAATGTTAAATAGACCAAAGTCACCCCTAGTGGCAAGCTCCTTCCCAATCCGTATATAGAGCATGTGCTCTATCACGATGTGTCTGTCATCAAAATATGAGTATAGTGTTATTCTTTCTGTAAATGAAAGCCCTAATAAGTGTCTTAAGCAAGGCAAAATTTAGTTTTAAGTGATAGAATAAAGTTATCATGCAAGATGACTCTCACACCTGGTCCATTGGTCCCAGTTTCAACGTACTCTGCATTGAATGTCATATCCAACCTCTCGCTGGTATATTCCCCATTGGATAGCTCATAGTTATAAACAAATGAAATTGAATTTCAGTAGAACATATTCAGTTAAAAGTGACCTCTTTTATTTGACTCCCAAGTTGATTATTTATCCCCTCATCATGTCAGGATAGAAATAAATCAAAGTAGACTCTTAATTAAGACAATAAGTTTTCTCTTTGGAAGAGCTATGGCTGTATATAAGGGGTCGTTTTTAGAATTCTGCAAGCCAAGTGTGAAAAAAAGGAAGAATGCCATGGTCTGAAAAAGAAAAATTTTTGCGTATTTATGATGCCAGTTTCATTAAACCCAAGATCAAGAGGTATCATAATAGATACCCCTTAGGCTCCAAAGATCTAACCTCAACACTGACACTAGATCCTGATCTTAGAGGAAATGCTTTCAGTTTTTCACCATTGAGAATGATGTTTGCTGTGGGTTGTTGTATATGACCTTTATTATGTTGAGGTAGGTTCCCTCTATGCCCACTTTCTGGAGTGTTTTTATCATAAATGGGTGTTGAATTTTGTCAAAAGCTTTTTCTGCATCTACTGAGATGATCATATGGTCTTTATTTTTCAGTTAATGTAGTGTATCACACTGATTGATTTACATATATTGAGAATCACTGCATCCCTGGGATGAATCCCACTTGATCATGGTGTATGATCCTTTTAATGTGTTGTTGGATTCGGTTTGCTAATATTTTGTTGAGAATTTTTGTGTCTATGTTCATCAGTGATATTGTCCTATAATTTTCTTTTTTTGTGAGATCTTTGTCTGGTTTCATAGAATGAGCTTGGGAGTGTTCCTTCCTCTGAAATTTTTTGGAAGAATTTCAGAAGGATAGGTGTTAACTCTTCTCTAAATGTTTGATAGAATTAGCTGTGAAGCCATGTAGTCCTGGACTTTTGTTTGTTGGAATTTTTTTTTTTTTTTTTTTTTTTTTTGCGGTACGCAGGGCCTCTCACTGTCATGGCCTTTCCCGTTGCGGAGCACAGGCTCCAGATGCACAGGCTCAGCGGCCATGGCTCATGGGCCCAGCCGCTCCGCGGCACGTGGGATCTTCCCGGACCGGGGCACGAACCTGTGTTCCCTGCATCGGCAGGCAGACTCTCAACCACTACGCCACCAGGGAAGTCCTGTTGGAATTTTTAAATCACAGTTTCAATTTCAGTACTTGTGATTGGTCTGTTCATATTTTCTTTTTCTTCCTGGTTCAGTCTTGGAAGGTTGTACCTTTCTAAGAATTTGTGCATTTACTCTAGGTTGTCCATTTTATTGGAATACAGTTGTTTGTAGTAGTCTCTTATGATCCTTTATATTTCTGTGGTGTCAGTTGTAACTTCTCCCTTTTCATTTCTGATTTTACTGATTTGAGTCCTCTCCCTTTTTTTCTTGAGGCATATGGCTAAAGGTTTATCGATTTTGCTTATTTTCTCAAAGAACCAGCTTTTAGTTTCATTGATCTTTGCTACTGCTTTCTTTGTCTCTATTTCATTTATTTCTGCTCTAATCTTTATTATTTCTTTCCATCTACTAAATTTAGGTTTTGTTTGTTCTTCTTTTCCCAGTTGCTTTAGATGTAAGGTTGTTTATTTGAGATTTTTCCTGTTTCCTGAGGTAAGATTGTACTGCTATAAACTTCCCTCTTAGAGCTGCTTTTGCTGCGTCCCACAGGTTTTGGATTGTCATGTTCTCATTGTTGCTTGTCTCTAGGTGTTTTTTGATTTCGTTTTGATTTCTTCAGTGATCCATTGGTTGTTTAGTAACATACTGTTTAGCCTCCATGTGTTTGTGTTTTTCACAGTTTTTTTCTTCCTGTAACTGATTTCTAATCTCATAGTTTTGTGGTCAGAAAAGATGCTTGATATGATTTCAATTTTCTTAAATTTACCGAGGCTTGATTTGTGGCCCAAGATGTGATCTATCCTGGTGAATGCTCCCTGTGCACTTGAGAAGAAAATGTATTCTGCTGCTTTTAGATGGAATGTCCTATAGATATCAATTAAGTCTATCTGGTCTAATGTGTCATTTAAGGCTTGTGCTTCCCTATTAATTTCCTGTCTGGATGATCTGCCCATTGGTCTAAGTGGGTTTTAAAGTCCCACACTCTTTATTGTGTTACTG